ATTTTTCTGTTGCGAGCCGAAAATTTGAGAGAGTTAATGAAAATCTGGCGAAGTTGCCCCCAAATGTTTTTACGGATATTTGTGAGAAAGAAAAAAAATGGAAATAACTATAAGTAATTAGTTATTGACATTGTTGTTAACAAAAAATATTTATAGATTATTAATAAAATAAATACATAGAAATTCGATAGATTGAAAACTTAAAATATTGAGAAGAAATAAAAAGAAAAATTCTTATTTTATGTTAATTTTTTTTATCGTGGATTTTAGTATTGTGAAAAGTATTTTATATGATTAATTATAATAGAAAGTTAAATTCAAAAGATAGAAATAAAATTTTATTTTTTAATGTGGCCATACACAAGAATTTGTAAATAAAACTAAGAAAACAACATAAAGTAATATATAAAAGTTAATATACCAATCAATTACTAATATACCAAATAATATTATGTAATTTAATTTGAACATCCATATATGATATAACAAACTAATTGTCTAGTTGAAAAAATAAATAAGAAAAAAAAACTATTTGAATTTCAAATTGGCCTTTTCTCCAAATTGGAAATTCAATTAAACTAATGATAAATATCAGAATCCAATTCCATGCCGTTGTGAAAATTTGCAACATATTTGAAAATATAATTTATACATATCCCATTTCAGCAGATGAAATCTAATCCATGGGAGGACTCACATTTAATTTAATTCTTATTGCTAATTATATTCTATCTGCAATTAATAAGTTCACACTTTCATATTTAGACCTTCTATTAGGGAAAGTTGTATTCAATGGTAAAACAATAAACATTTGTCCTAGAATCGATGGTCAATTATTATATAGCACGTAATAGTAATTCAAAATGACTCGAAAAAGGAAAACATAATCGCCTTCATTTATCGAATGGAAAATTTATGTTTGCCTCTGTCGACTATATATACATGAGAATTCTTTAAGCACTATAGAATTATTCGGGAATTAAGTTTGCTCGATGAATTTAATTTCATCGATGGTGAGTCTTCCGAGTCCATTTTGTATTTCTCAATCAAATTTAATTTAATTTTCCCATATATATATATATATATATATATATATATATATATATATATATATATATATATATATATATATATATA